TCGACTTTTCTTCCGCGGCGGCGTATGAATGGTGGGCCCGCGGCGTCGAGAGATTAAGAGGCCAAGGTATTGATGCAATGTGGAATGACAACAACGAGTACACTTTGCCCAACGATGAATGGAAGCTGGCTCTAGAGACGGTCCCCAAAGCCAGAGGTAACATCAACAACAACCAGGGATCGGATAAAGTCGGACTCTGGGGTCGTGCCATGCACACCGAATTGATGGCCAAAGCTTCATATCAAGGTCTCCTCCAAGCAGAGCCTGGGGTTCGACCCTTTGTCTTGACGCGAAGCGCCAGCATTGGGACTCTGCGGTATGCTTGTAGTTCTTGGAGTGGTGACAATATGACCAGCTGGGAAAGCATGAAGGCGGCCAATGCAATATCCCTCAACGCAGGTCTAAGTTTGATGCACTGCTATGGCCACGACATTGGCGGTTTCGAAGGGCCGCAGCCTTCTCCTGAGCTGTTGCTCCGCTGGGTCCAGCTGGGATGCCACCAGATCCGCTTTGCCATCAACTGCTTCAAGACATCTCCTCAAGACAACCAAGCCGGAGAGGTCATTGAGCCCTGGATGTATCCGGAGATCACGCCCATGATCAGGAAGGCAATCAAGAGACGATACGAGATGATGCCCTACATCTACTCACTCGGCCTAGAGAGTCACCTGACAGCAAGTCCCCCGCAGAGATGGATTGGCTGGGGGTATGAGTCTGATCCAGAGGTGTGGACAAAAGCCCTCAAGTCTGGCGAAGAGCAGTATTGGTTTGGAGACACGTTGCTGGTCGGTGGTGTGTATCAGCCTGGTGTCGATATGGCCAGAATGTATCTCCCACGTCGTGCTGAAGAAGGATTCGATTATGGTTACGTCAACCTCAATGCGCCATATGAGTATCGTGCGTCTGGCCAGTGGGTATCTGTTTCGTCGCCCTGGAGGGAGAGCATCCCAATCTTCGCCAAAATCGGTGGTGCGATTCCAATTGGTAAGAGCGTACAAACACGAATGCCCAGCGATACCAAGGCAGACTGTAAAACTCTTCCTGAGGACGACTACAGGGGCCTCGAAATATTCCCGCCCAGAGGAAGCTCCCATGGGAAAAGCTTCGCCACCTCGTGGTACGAGGACGACGGCCTCTCTCTCCATCCAGACATCTCATCCTTCGTGGTGTCATACAGCTCCACCGATGAAAAAGTAACAGTTCAACTTGTTGCTGGTGCGGACAATATCTTCATTCCGCCATGGAAAGAGGTGGTGTTCATCTTGCCTCGAGGAGATCAGAGGTACGTTGAATCGACCAGTGGAGCCACGATGGAGCGAATTGCATCACAAGACTGTGGGAGGGTTCGTTACAAGATGCAACTTCCTAGTACCAGAGGGGCAAATGGCCCGGCGCTGTGTAATGGACATGGTCAGTAGATGGTTGGCACAATACTCCAGACCTTCGACTAGAGTTAGTAGAGTACATAGAGCAAATAGAGCCAAGGGTGGGCCCGAAATATACAACTTTGAACAACCCCCCTCCCGACATCGCTCCCTGAAGACACTTTTAGCGACCTCATGTCATGCTCGAAGACTTAGTTCATGAGGTGACCCTGGAGCGGGTCTGCGTAATAGTAGTGCCAATATATGACGGACACAAGATGAGAGGGAGTAACACTCGGTTGTTGTGCCTCTTGGGGCGATTGGAGGGAGAGATCGAGGATGCGCAGGGGGCCCTCGAGACCTGCTCGGGAGGAAGCAAGATGGAGGAATTGGCGCGGGTCTTGGCGTCTCCGTCAGATTAGATCGAATCATTCGATTGCATCTGATAAGATGAGAATTTTCACGGCGCTTGTCCCTTTTGGGACGAAGATCAACTTCGCCTCGAGCTCCGGCTTCTTGTCGACTTCACTCGTCCTGGCATTTTGATCCACCGACCCTGCTCATCTTCCTTGCTCCCCCATCGCTTTGCATGTGCACCCTCTTGTGTGCCCTCTTGGACCGTCAGATGCTCCCCCCAAGCAAGACAAGCTAAAGTATTGCGATATTCTGATGTGACAGCGCTGAGACCCGGCGGTATGCCCAGCACTCCTTCATGCTTACAATCTTCAACAATAGGTCAGATTGTCCCAAGCCAAAAAGCTCGTCCTGGCTTGTTCCTCTGGTCAAGCCGAGCCACTAATTGCCGTTGCTCTTTCAATCAGAGAGTTTGCGTGAAGAAGAGAAAAGTCATGAGCAACACTTTGTCGTGGTGGGGGACGGTGCAACCTTGCTCTACACAGGTTCATCGGAGGACCCATGCTATGACATTCGCATCATTCGAGCAAGGGTCAGCGAAAAAGGTGCTCATAAAAAGTGTCTACGGCAAGTATTAATACCCTGTGCAACGCTCGCTTTTTCTCTCGTGCATCTCAGTCGTCTTTCAATCGTTTCAACCCTCCATCATGAAGTTCAACGCAGCTTGGATCAAGCCCAACTTTACACCTGTAGCTGTCGACCAGCACAGCGACTCAGAAGCCCCTGCTTCGAGTGATGAGGCGAAAGGAGCTCGTGTCGATTCGCAAAGACCTTCAACAGTCGAGTCTGACTCTCTCGCGGTCGATGAAGATGCCCAAACCGGTGTCCAGAAGATCCAGGCCACGGCACAGGCCTGGGGTAAAAATCAACTTGTCCTGGCCTATCTGCTGTAGGTTGACCGTGGTATCAAGTTTCCAAGCAGGGCAACTGACGGCGACACAGGATCTTCCTCATTTACTTTGTTGATTCGCTTCAACAACAGATCACAGGAGTCTTGACTCCATATGTCACCAGCAACTTTCAACGTCATTCCCTCACTGCCACCACCGGCATCCTCTCTCAGATCATTGGCGGCCTGAGCAAGCTCCCGCTTGCAAAGATCTTGGATGTCTGGGGCCGCCCACAAGGTTTCATCCTCATGGTGTTCCTGCTCACAATCGGTCTGATCATGATGGCTGCGTGCCAAAATGTCGAGACGTACGCCGCAGCTCAAGTTTTCTACTGGGTCGGCTACAATGGGGTCGGCTACTCACTCAGCATCTTCATTGCTGATACCTCACACCTCAAGAATCGAGGCTTAATGTTCGCCTTCGCTTCTTCACCTTATATTGCGACCACGTGGGCAGGAGGTCCCGCTGCACAACGCTTCCTTGAGGGACCTGGCTTCCGATGGGGATTCGGCACTTTTGCCATCATCACCCCTGCCATCTGCATGCCTGTCTTCTGTCTCTTTGTCTACAACTATCGAAAAGCGAGGAAAGCAGGCCTAATGCCTGTCCGCCATAGCAACCGCACCTTTCTCCAATCCCTTCGATACTACACCATCGAGTTCGATCTTTTCGGCTTGCTGTTGATCACAGCTGGAGTTGCGCTCTTCCTGTTACCTTTCTCACTATACTCCTACCAGCGGGACGGCTGGAAGTCTCCCATGATCATCTGCATGATCATATTTGGCGGACTTCTGCTTATCGCCTTTGGCCTTTGGGAGAAATTCTGGGCTCCCAAAAAATTCATTCCGTGGGAGCTCCTGACGGACCGGACCGTTGTCGGTGCCAACATGCTCTCCGCCGTTCTCTTCATCAGCTTCTACATATGGGATTCCTTCTTCTACTCCTTCCTCATCGTCGTGAACAACCAGACCGTCACCCATGCAGCCTACGTTATGAACATCTACAGCATTGGAGCCTGTTTCTTCGCGATCCCGGTGGGCCTATACATCCGATGGCGTGGACGCTTCAAGAACATCGCCCTGTACTTCGGCCTGCCTTTGAACATCCTGGGCGTCTCGCTCATGTTACGGTTCCGCCAACCACACTCGAATATCGGATACATTATCATGTGCCAGATCTTCATTGCGTTCGCTGGTGGAGTCTTGGTCATTTGCGAACAGATTGCTGTCATGGCTGCAGCCTCTCACCAACACGTTGCTGTCGTCATTGCTATCGAGGGAATGTTTTCCTCGGTCGGTGGCGCAATCGGATCCACTATTGCAACAGCAATCTGGACCGGCGAGTTCAAGGGTAAGCTGCGGAAGTATCTGCCGGAGTCAGCGCAACCTGAGCTCGACACCATCTACGGCAGCTTGGTCGTTCAATCATCCTATGCTCCGGGAACCCCTACCAGAGAGGCCATCAACAGAGCATATGGAGACACCCAGAAACTGATGCTGATTGCTTCAACGGCGTTCCTAGCCCTTGCCATTGTGTCGGTTCTCTTGTGGCGGAACATCTACGTCAAGGATATCAAACAGGTCCGAGGACGAGTAGCCTAAAAATTCTGGAAATGGGAAGGCGCAGAAAGGGCATAGGTCACAAGAACTGGGAATCTGAAATGGCTTATCATACAATGGCTCCCTTGAGATGTACATAGTATGTACGACTTGTGATAGATTTCGAACAAAGAAATCTCACCAGGTGTGGGAGGCCACGTGCACCCACGTGCCGGATCCAATTCGCTGACATAATATATGCATCTACTTTACACGTGACACGCGTCTGCAAGTGGCGCGTCAAATGACTGCAAGTGACATTTTCTGATTTTCACCCGCGTTCATCAGGCTGCGCCGCGCGACATTCTGCCTTGTTCAATTCCGAGCATGTGAAAAAGCCCAGCCGCATTCTTCTCTGTGGAAAGAAGGCGCTTCACTTGCCCGATGACTGCGCCATGCTCAAGTCGTGTCAAGTCGGTGCTTCTCGAGTTTACAAAGGACAAAAAGTGACTTTGTCGAATGAACAAAACACAAAGCCAACGGACTGCTTTTGTTGATTTTGACCACTACCGCTATTTTGTCTTCCCCCTCTCACTTCTGCATCCAACTGTGCGCTTCTTTTATTCTCATGGTCAGGCAGTCTTTACTCGCGCTCACCAGCGAGTTGCCTTGTCCAAGTGGTTGCCCCGCCTGCGCCACATTCACTCATTAACTCACTCATTAACTCACTCTTAGAAGAACCCTTCAACTTCGCAATTTCTGCCAGCCCGATTGTAACGACACCTTAAGGCACGATGGACAACGTAACCGACCCTGCTTTACTTGCCGAGATTGAAGACCTCCGCGACGAAATCGCTCTCAAGGAGGCGATCCTCCAGAGCTTGGATGAGAACAACCTCGACAACAGCGAGGACGAGGAACTCAAACATACTACACAGAAAGAGCTCAGAGGCCTGCAGAAACATATCCGGGGTCTTCTTGCTACCTCAAAGCGAGAACATAACGACGGTCTGCCTCACAGGATTTTGGATCAAAGTTCCGAGAGTGCAACCGCCCAACGTTCCGGCAGCCAACACTCGCACGATGCACAGCTACAAGGGTCTGGTCTCTCAAGCCATCTCATGCCCCCGCCTCATCATGAACTGGTGAACCGCAAGCGCTACAGACAAGACAGCCTCGACAATGGGAGACCGGAATCATCCAAATCTCGACGAACAAGTCCTAGTCCTGGCTCAGCCCACACTGCCGCTCCCTCACCCACTGCCTCCTCTGCTAGTCTAAGCAGTCTCGATGATCCATTTGCCGACCCACTCTTTCGCGGCTTCTCAAGGGATGAGGTCGTGCAGAATCAGGATTACTGGAAAAGACGCGAACACCAAAAGCAGCAGGAGGAAAACGATGCCAGACTTGCCCAGCAGCTCTCTCAGGAATGGTCTCAGGATTCTGGCCCGGATGTGACACAACCCATTGCCCCGCGTCAATCTGAGTATACCCAGTCCTTTTTCAAAACGGACGGCAGTATCAATCGACTTCCTGCAAGCCAGCCTTCATTCTCCCAAGACATAACTCGACCATTACCACCTGTGAAGCCGGAACCCTTGACTAGTACCACTCAACTGCTGACTTCTGCTGCATTCGAGGCCACGGGCTCCAAAGCCAGTCCTGGCTTTACCTCTACGACGGCCATGCCTGGCGCTTTTCCCACCGGGTTCCCCCATGGGCAGCCTATGGAAGCATTGGTGGTAGCCAAGTGTACAACCTGACACCCTCAATCCCCTCTATCCCCTCCAATTATTTGACAATTTCTGATTCCAGCGACGACGAAAAGAATCCGTCCTCTGGCAACGGCCGACCGAAGCAATCTCTGGCGGATCCTTCGTTCTCAACCCCCTATGGGAATGTGACATACGGGGGGTATGACTCGTATGGGGCATACGGGCCATACACGTCATACGGATACCGAGACGAGGCTCAAACTCAAGAACAGTTGAAAGAGCTTTTACAGCACATTAGACCTGATGAAGAGCTCACTGCAGACCACATTCCACAACAGCCTCCAGGCCTCAAGGCGACTCTTATGCCTCACCAGCTTAGCGGCCTCGCATGGATGAAGCGGATGGAAGAAGGCACCAATAAAGGTGGCATTCTAGCAGACGATATGGGTCTCGGCAAGACTCTACAGAGCATCGCCTTGATGCTAGAGCGTCCGCCAGCAGATAACAAGCCTTGTCCTACTCTTGTCGTGGCACCTGTAGCACTGATGCATCAATGGAAACGGGAAATCGAGAAGATGGTTCGTCCACGATACCGTTTGAATGTCTTCATCCTCCATGGAGAGAGTCGCAAAATTACATGGACCGCTCTCAAGGCCTATGACGTGGTTCTCACGACATACGGATTGCTTACATCGGAGCTGAAACGCAAGCTGGCACTGGATGAAAAGGCTAAGAAATTGAAGGACTGGCAGCCGTCCGTCGCCGAAGACTGCCCTATCCTTGGAGACAGATCGAAATTCCACCGTGTGATTCTTGACGAAGCACAAAACATCAAAAACAGGAATGCGAAGTCTGCCCTTGCTGCTTGTCGCATTCAGGCAGAGCATCGCTGGGCTCTTACTGGGACACCAATGCAGAACTCTACCGAGGAAATCTTCAGTCTCATCAAGTTCACTCGGATCCCACCTTATAACAACTGGGAGCATTTCAGGAAGAGAATCGGTGCCCCACTCAGAGGCAGATATGAGAATGATAAGGACGTAGCCATGAAAGCACTTCAGGCGCTACTCCGGGCTATCCTGTTGAGGCGAACAAAGCAGTCGAAGATACATGGTCAACCCATTCTCCAACTCCCTCCCAAAGAGACTAGAGAGGATCGAGTTGCGTTCGACAAGGATCAACTTGACTTCTACAAAGCTCTGGAAACAAGTGCTCAGATTCAGGTGAACAAATATTTACAGAAAGGGACTCTCGGCCGAAATTACTCTCACGCCTTGGTCCTCCTCCTTCGCCTTCGTCAAGCCTGCTGTCACCCGGCCCTTGTTATTGCCAGCAAAGACTTTATCCAACTCCCAGGTGGAGAGCTGGATACTGATGCACTCATCCGCAATGCAGAGCAACTCGACGCAAAGGTTGTTGCACGGCTCAAGGAACTGGATGCCTACGAATGTCCGATCTGTTTCGACGTCACAGAAAACCCTTCGGTGTTCTTTTGCGGGCATGCCATATGTGGGGATTGTCTCAATCAGCTCGTCGACCAAGCCAGCAACGACAACAACGGTGGACCTCCGGTTTGCCCCCAATGTAGGGCGAGGATTGACGTCAACAATGTCACGGACTATACTAGTTTCCTTCGCGTCCACTGTCCAGATCGGGTGGAAGGCCAGGAGCGGAAGGAAGATAACGCCGACTCTAACGCTGATTCTGACTCCGATGACGACAGCAGCGATGACTCCGATGAGGGTGACGACCTCGACGGTTTCGTTGTGTACGACGATGTCGAGGACGACTCCGAGGACGAGGAGAATGAAAACTCGAAGAAACGATCGTCGAAATCCAAGTCCAAGAAAGGCAAGGAGCGGTCTAGGTCGAGATCAAGGCCGCGAACCAGAGAACCACTCAAAAGCCTTGCACAACTTCGGAAGGAAGGTCTGCGCAACAAGGCTGCTAAACGGCAGTATTTGAAACGCCTCAAAAAGAATTTCCATCCTTCTGCCAAAATCACGCGTACTGTTGAGCTGCTGGAGGAAATCAAAAATAGTGGAGAGAACGAGAAAACCATCATCTTCTCCAACTTCACGTCATTTCTCGATCTGGTGGAATTACCTCTGTGGAAACACAAAGACTTCTCCAAGTACGTACGTTATGACGGTTCTATGAGCGCCAAAGACCGCAACGACGCAGTGCTCGAATTCACCGATAACCCCAACTGCAAGGTGATCCTGGTCAGTTTGAAAGCTGGAAATGCAGGCTTGAACCTGACTGTGGCAAATCATGTCATTATGCTTGATCCATTCTGGAATCCATTTGTCGAGTATCAAGCTGCGGACCGGTGTTATCGGATCGGGCAAACGAAAAACGTCACCATCCACCGAGTTCTCATTGGTGAAGGAGATTCTAAGGCCGTCGTCGACCCTTCGGGCTTCACGGTGGAAGATCGTATTCTGCAGCTGCAAGAGCGCAAACGCGACCTAGTTGAAACAGCCCTTGACGAGACGGCTGGTCGTGAGGTGTCCAGACTCGGTGTGCGGGAATTGGGCTATCTGTTCGGCCTCAACGCCCTCTAAACACCAGTGTCTTAGCAGAGGCTTATTTCTTCTCGTGTCAATTGTATGAATGTGATGGAGCGCTGACTTTGTACGATGGGCGGCAGGCTGGAAGGGTTCATGGCGCAGGGAGAGGCTGGCGTGCTTCGAATATGAGACCTTATGAGACCTTATGAGACCAAAGTGGAACAGCCCAGGTGTAGAAGATACACTATTGGGTTTCATCTCAATGCCTCGCAGAGAAATGGCTGTATGATATCGGGCGACTATGCAGAATCGGCTCTAGAACACATTTGCCCAGTTCAATAATTCATGTCAAAACTTGATTTGAGTAATGTTTGATAAGCCATAGAGTCATTCGTTTCTGGCACTCACGCAACAAGCGTAAACCTACATGGCGATGGTACCAGTGTATAGCCCAAGGATGCAAGAAATGGCAGAGAAAGGAGAAAGCAGCACAGACAATTCCCAATTTGTCTTTCATTCTCGCATGATATCCGATCGACGCCGCTCGGCGCGAAGGGCGCGAGACGTAAAACCAGACATAGACTTATCCCACGATATAGTATATAAAGCGACACAATTCCGCGGGTGGTTTTGTTTGTCCTTGCCCCTTTCCCACCTCACGCCTTGTGCATTTTCCCGATTGACTTGTTGGGATGGATGATTCGGTTTACTCGGTTTTCGCAGCCTTGGTCTCGGTCTTCTTCACGATGCGAGACAGGATTTGCACGCGCAGCCAGCCGGGGAGCATGTGGAAGATGCCGAGCTGGACGGCGTGGCCAATGTAGGGGGTGATCTTGGGCCTGCCGACGCCGACCTTGTCGAGGACGGCCTTGGCGTAGGTATGTGTGCTAGGCATCGTGAAGGAGATGTCGGCGTCGGACCTGCCGGAGGAGGCGGTGGCGACGGTGCCCGTGACGAGGGACATGATCTCGACGTCCTGGCCGCTGAAGGCCATCTCGATATTCAGCACGCCGGCAAAGGCCTCGATGAAGGCCTTGACCCCCGTGTACAGCGACACGTAGGGGGTGGTCAGCTCGGTGACGGCGCTCGAGACGAACAGCATCAGGCCCGGCTGCCGCTGCTGCAGGATCGGGAGCAGCAGCCGCGTCATGTGCGTCGTGAAGCGCGCGTTGACGTTGATCCACCCGTCGCACTGCCGCGCGGGTATCTCGGTGAAGAGCGTCATCTCAAACTGCGGCTCGCCCGACCCAGCCACGTTGTGCACCACCACGGTCAGATGGCAGTCCTTGACCGCCGCGAGCACCGTCTCGTCGAAAACCGGGCCCGGCGGCGTCGTCGCGTCGAGCACCAGCGTGCGGAACCCCGTGGTCGGGAACCGCGTCTTCAGGTCCGCGACGATCTTGTCCAGCTTTGCCGCGTTGCGTCCGTGTAGGACCACGTTGAACCCGCGCTGAGCAAACGCCTGCGCGAACGCCAGCCCGATCCCGTCGCTGGCCCCCGTGATCAACACCCACGGGTCCGTGCCGTGGTGGTAGCGCTGCAGCTTAGAGCCGTGGAGGTGGAAGCGCAGCGCCGACGCCAGCTGCAATCCAGCGTAGCCGAGGGTTGAAGCCCCGACCACGGCGCACACGTTGTATAGGGACAGGGCCATAGTGAATGATTGAATTGCAGGACACTGGGAAAGAGAAAGACGGAAAAAGAGAAAGAAAGAAAGAGAACCTACCTGTGAGTGAGCCAACTGGCGCAAGATATAACTACATCCAAAGCAATAGGCAAATGATTGGGAACGAGTGACTCAAAAAACCCTGGGAACAAAGAGTCGTTTACTAGCCAGCCAGCAGCCTCGATATGTATTGGTACGAGGAGCTCGTATTTATACAGGGCCCAGATGGGGCGCCTCAAAAACGCTTAATTTTGGTCCGCGTTCCGATCATTGGCTTATCTTCCTTGATCCCGACCGAGATTTCCTCCGGGGAGCAACGAGTACAATAATAATAGTAAAGAGTTGCTCCAGGCCGAGTTAAAGAGTAGAAGAAGGAAGGGTTGTAAGTAGAGAGATATAGTATCAAACCCATGTTCAGTTGCTAACAGCAGTGCGAGAAGACGGGACAGAGATTCCCGTCATTGCCAGATCAAAAGGTTGGAAGGAGGTGTCGATTGTCTGCAGACCCGTCATCGCCTTGTCCTGTCGACGAGGTCTGACAATCAGTGGCATTGGTCCGAAGATATAACAATGTCCGCATCGGTTCCACACGCAAGAAGCGACAGGCATGCGAACACCAGAGAAGATATCTCTCGTGGCAGCGCATCATCATCTCGTCAACAGGTCGTAACGTCATCGAAAAAAGCAACACTGGTGTCACGACAGTTGCTGAGAAATGCTGCCGCCGGCTCCATGGGATATTCTATGCCTTCCGCTACTCTTGGCCTTCCCTTTCAGTGGATTGTTTTTCTCCCATTCCTCGTCCGCCCTAAACGCCTCCACTGCAAGCTCCAGGTTGAAATCACTGCCCTTGAGGTACAGCTGGGCGACATTGTAGTTTGCACACTTTGTAGCGATCATCCACCGCCGCAGTTTTGTCTTGCGCTCTTCCTCTTCTGCATCTGGTGGTGTACTCAAAGGAGGACCTGTGTAGTGGGATCGCGGGATGAGAATCCACTTGCGGGCAGCGAGGAGTTGATCAGAATAGAGGTTATTGTAGCGACGCAGGACTTGGATGGGCACTTTGTAGGCCAGCGATAACGATTGTAACGAGTCTTCAGACCCCACGAAATGAACAGTGTCGTCGGTGTCGGCTGGCGGGCCTGTGCTTTGCTCTGGCGTCCGTGAGGGTCCTATCGAATCATCATAAGAGGGCGGTGGCGATTCTGCCCTTCTCGAACCTCTTGAAGTTGCAGTCGTAGAGTATGAGGGCGGCAGTCGGAGCCCTTCTCTCGGCAATGCAGACGGGCCAGACGATATCTGGCAGAATGGGCAGTAGGACTGAAACCGGGGGTTCTTACACTGACATGTCGCGCATATGAATCGGGAGCAGCAATCAAGTTGACGGTGATGAAACGGTGACTTCTCTGAGCGAGGGTCGTAGGGCACCTTTGCGTCCGAGAGGAGCGTGGCGCAAGTACAGCATGAGTCAGTCAGAGGCATTGGTATCGGGCTGTATGTACAATGAGAGAGTTACGCCCGTTAAGTCGAACAGAAAGAAGGCTTGAAGGTAGAGATCACTAGTGGTGGGTATGTACATGTACGGACGAGGCTATGGCGTCTCGTATGTCCAAGTCAGTCTAGACCCGCGTGGCTTGGGGTGCCCCTTCGGGCGTCATGGGGGGCTGCAGCTCGGGTGACTGTGACTTCGACACGCTTAGGTAGGTCAAGGGCCACCAGGGCTAAAAGTCAATGACATCACTGACCTGCGGGGCCAAATGCCGCTTGGGCGAGGGCCAGGCGCCCCGGGGTTTCAACCAGGCGAGTTGCGCTCATCAGAACACCACAATCGACACCTGCAACCACAACAACCACAATCCAATTTTTGATCTATCTGTAGCTGGGCCAAGGAATGCTAGAACCACGTTCTGATCCCCTCGCATGATCCACGCCAATCAATTGTTTCGCCGACTATGTGCACAAGCCAGATCTAAGATAACACTGCTAGTGACACTAGACAAGCTTTATAATGGCATTCAGGCATGAGACCCCGGTTCTTTCCCCAGAAAGGGAGCTTGTGGATTCTCGTATTTCAGGTTCCGAGTCCAGATCCGCAATATATCTAGGCACCAGGACAGAACTTGAACCCTAGCGAATGCCCGCAGTAAAGAGAGAGAAACCAGTTACCACCTGTCTAGGGTCTGATCTGTTCCTAGTCGCAGTCATTCCTCCCGAGTATTACATCTAGAGCAAAGATGACTTCGACTGACCACGGCTGACCAAGAATTTCTCGGAACGTGGAATTTCCATCTGACTCTATGGCTTTGGGGATACAAAGGGGAAAGAATACGAGATGCCCGGGCAGCAAACATGGGCACATGGGCGGGCAAGAAATTACGCACCTTGCAAGGCTGGACCCCTCAAATATTGTTCCAACCAGATCCACCTGAAAAGGGGGAGAGGACATGTGCATCGTATACGCGAAGCGGCCTGAACATTCTGGCAGCCATCCGCAGAAAGTGGCATCTGGCATCTGCTTACAGTAAAGCAATACGAGCCATGTCAGATCAAGCACCAGACCATCCTTCAATAGGCTCAGAACCTTCGGTTTCCCTCAAACCCGAGCAAGGCGCTCCGCCAATCGAATTGCGTCTGCCTGACCTGGTGTCCAGACAAGCTTGCGTGGCTTCCTTCGGTCTTTGAGTCTTCCATGAACACCCCAGCCCCCAATTGCGCGGCAATGTATAGACGTGCAGATGGCGAGATGCAGACAATGACGAGAATGGAAGTGTGAGGCGGTTCTGGCTCCAAATTTGGGACTCCCGTACTCGGCCGTTGTTGACGTTGAGTGTGCTGGTGATACTCGTCACCACGGGGTGCTGTGCACAAGACGCAGTCCCCTCTAGAACCGAATCACTCTGCATATCTTATGGAGAGAAAGCTTTTAAATTAGCTGCGTGGAGTGACAGTCTTGATATTGGTAACGTTCAAATAGGCACCAGGTTTCCAGTGCAAATCCTTCCCTTTTTTTAACTCTCGCAAGACCTTACATCCCGTTGCCTTAAGTTCCAGGAATATTCATCTCGAGCTCAATACTGGCGAGCACAATATCTTCCAAGCAAACATGGCTTCCTTTCTAGACCAAGCAACCCAGAATCACAACGCCTCCCACGCACACGTACAGAATATCAACAATGCAGCCAAGCAAAAAACACCACGCAAGAAACCAACGGCTAAGGTGCCTCAGGCGAAATCTCTTCTTTCCGAAGACCTCGGCGGAGGACTGGCGCAGATCCTCATGACCCAAGCCAGGGACATTGACTCGATGAACATCATTCAACGTCTGCAATTCCTCAAGCGGGAAGCCTTACTGGGACCAAGATTTATCGACTTTAACCAGAGCAGCACCACC